GAATCAACCTTGTGTGGTCATGACAGTGCCTTTTCAAAAAATCTGTACTGGGTATTAAAGGTCTTTCCTTAACCTATCATGTGGTATACCTAAATAATTCCTTATGATGTACATGATTTTTTAAAAGAATATATAAAATTATAACTTTTCAAGAGCTAAAAAATGCTATAATTTGGCAAAATTGCCAATAAAAGATCTGCCCCCATATCTCTAAAACTAATGATCCAAAATAAGAAAGCCAGTGGCTCACAATATCTTTTATGTTGATGGTTTACCACACCAAAAATTATTAAAATCTGCTGACCCCCACCTTGCCGCCTTCTGACTGATCTGTTTGGCTTTCTCATGGACGCGCTCTTAATGTGTCAAGCGTTATGATTGCTTTGTTGGGTTTTGTAAGAATTGAATTCATTCCACCAACGACGAAACCAATTACGTTAAATCCTATTAAGCTTTCAAAGTAATTGATGGGCCAAAAATACATTTTAGCGAGCTCAAAGATAATGATGAATGTCCGGGTAACTAAGCATTTCTGCAATTAGCAGCTCTGAAGACAAATGTCCTGACAGAATAGAGCCTATTTGATCTCCACTCAGACCATGCAATATATGAGATAACCAATTAATAGTGCTATTGCAACAGTAATATTATGCTTTGTATTATACACATGATCAATTTTGATCCGGGTTCTTGGAGTTTCCAGCCATCGTATGCTTCATTTGGTTTATATCCTACATTGTACATCAAATCACGTCACGCCACAGACTCAGTAATCCATTGTCGTTTGAAATATACTACCGCACTTGGACGGCTAGTTGGTAATTGGACTACACTCGACTAAAATTCAGACAATATTTCATTGGACGGATTTTAGAGCAAGTAAGAGGTGATATCCCAAATTTAATTTATACTATAGGACCTACTGTGATTGTTTACGTCGAAAGCTTTTGAAACGCGAGATACGAATTGAACTGGTATGTGAATTCTTTATAGGACAGTGCGAACAATGGAATAAAACCATTGTGAAATACAGTTCTAAACACCGAACAAAGTTGAAATGTCGCAGCAGTTCAATGCAACATTTTCAGTTGGAATCCCTCCGTGGCGTTTCCCAGTTTTGTCTGAGGATGGTTTACATATTTTTCAAGCACTGCACATCGTGTGCATGGTCATTGTAAGCATCGGCATTGTAGAAAACGCTGTATCACTCGCTGCACTTTACCATATGCGTCGACCATTTCAGCCGCTTCAGATTCTGATCACTCATCTAGCTGCCACGGACTTGCTAGTCCTCGTTCTTGCTTTAACGACCAGCTTCACTGTGGTCCACATAAAGAACTCATCAGACCCTGAGGACAAATCCACATTTATGTGTGTTGTGGACGTTATCCAGGACCTTCTTATGTGCGGAGTACAGCTGCCGCTTGTCAACACTACGTTCATCTTGATCAACCAGATCTTGGCTCTTACATATCCACTGCGATACAAGATTTTGGTGAGAACACGCGTTGTGAAAATTATTCTGTCGGTGAGTTACGCCATCGTCGCCGTAACGTACATCGCGTTTCACGTGGCAAAGTTAGCAACAACCTCCCAAGAGAACTGCTCCAAATACTTCGCAAACGACTATTCCGTTGCCAGTCTTTGGTATCTTGCAGTCACTTGCACCACGATGTGCCTCCTTAATTTAATTCTTAACGGAGTGCTGTTCGTCAAAGCGCGTGCCATCATAGGCAACACCGGCGTTTCCAGACAACGGGCGACAGATGAAATAGACACCGGTACGAGGCACAATGACAGAAAATTGGTGGTGACAGTCATCTGGTTGTCAGGGACTGTGGTGATATTTTGGACCCCACTGGCTATAACGTTCGGACTGCGGGCGTACATTACGGGAAAGGAATTCCTGACCAGCAATGAAATGGCTGTTGCGCACATGGTAACGGGAACAGTAGGGATGGTGAACGGTTTATGCGACCCCCTGTTGTACGGCGTGAGACTGCCCGAAGTACGAGACGGTTATAAAAAACTTTTGAGTAAAATTCGAAACGCTGTTGGGTCTGGTACAGTTAGTCAAAGGCAGAGTCAAACGGTAGAAACTTTGAGCACATCGCTGTAATCTCTGTTGTCACCGCTTTAACATTTACATTTTATGAAATACCCAATACTTCAAAGTGTAAAGAAAATGTGCACCAGTTTGATCACCCTATATCGATTTCATTAATCCATTCATTTATTGATTCATTTGTGAAAGCTAATGGATAAAATTATTCTTGGCTATTAAACAATTTGTCAATAGAGAAAAATGTTTAACAATAAATGATTAAAAACATGCAGTATTTCAATAATGTTTAGGGTTTTGGATATATTGCGTTAAGTAGTACATGTAGATATACAGGCCATTTGTACTGCATTAAAAGATTAACCAGTCTAATTTTTCAATTAATATATCCATTGTTCAACAAAGAGATCAATTGTTATACATAATAGGAAGTAAGTTATACACCTGTAATAAATTACGTACTTTAAATTAAATTAAGTACGTTAAAATAAATAACGGTTTATGAAAAATGTCAATTAATTTAATTAAAGAATTTACAATGTAACGTAACATTGTAAATGCAATATACAAGCTTTAATTGGTGTATACTACATGAATTCATAATATAGAAACGATTCCTTTGCTCTAAAATTGCCTCGATCATGGTTCATGATAATTAATATTTAAATCTATTGAAATTACATAGGTTGGCCTTGTACATGTCGACTTTAAATAATATACTATAATAAAAATTCCCCTTTTGAAAAAAAAGCCCATACTGGATTTTTCAACAGACATTTCTTCTAACTTAATAGAATACCTTAATCAATATAATCACATCAGTTTGACTTGAATTTGTTTTAAATTTCCAGTTGTTGTTATAGGACTTTAACATGTGAATATGACGAGATCGTAGGGGTCACAAGGGAACCTAACGGCGATGATATATATAATGACATTGTATGTGTTACCCAAAAAGATGGCTATTAACTCTTGAGCATATACATGTCTGTAGCATTCAACAAAACCTTGCAAGAATAATCATTCAAGCATAACACTTCTAGTTTTCCCATCCTAAAATCATAAATTATCACAACAATCTTTCATTGTTATAAATATAAACAAATGCAGCCATTGCCAGAAAACATTAACAAAGGCATATTTTCACTACATGAACAATAACAGCATAGCTCATTATAAATCACGCGCACCATGAGCTATATTTGCTCATTTTACCATCACTACAGGAATGTACATGGGCTAATTCCCAATGAAGCTATCATTCTACATAGATCGATCCAACTTGGCAGGGAATCCCGCCAAGTGCAACCAGATCATCACACATCATCATTTTATAACTTGAAATATACTTAACAGATTTTTCATTGGTTCTAGCCAAACCTATGAACACATTTTCCAATATAAAAATTGTATAGGTTATGCAAATTCCAATTTATATCTTTATTAATTCTGCAGTCTTTATTTGTATTTTACACAATATGTAGGCATGTGTCAAAATGAGGCTTGAGCATCCAAACTTTTTAAACATTTAAAATGATAACAGATATTGGAAACTGAGTCAAAAACAGATCTTTGGCAACCATTCCAGTATAATCTGTAGATGAAGAGCAACAGACCCCGGACATAAAAAGATATGGTGACCACAACCATTTTTTGTAGCTCTCACCATAAACATTTAAACTTTACACTTCCTTATGGTACATATTTGTTAAACACATGCTCTGGTTTCATAAACAAACAAGTTGGCCTGTATTTATCCTGCACAAGCTTACAAAAACGACAGGGTGGACAAAACACATTTCATGATCTTTTACCAGGGTCCAACAATTTACAGTAGAAGATACTTTAATTGAGCATTGTTGTCCAAGATGACAACACAGTGGTATATATATACATGTAGCTCCACCAAATCTGCAAAAGCTAATTTCCAATGGCTGGACGACTCATGTCAGCTTTGCATGCATGCCCTCTAATATTTGCTGATAGTTTGGTTCTGAAATTGTAAATTGGCATTTCCTTGTAGTTTTACTATAACAAGGCAAGACAAATATCAAATATAGCTAAATACAATTTTAATAGTAATAATGTTTTTTATTATAAAATTCAAAGATGAATTTTAAAAATTCTGAATGTAAAACCATACAGTACACAAATATTGATCATCTGCCTCTCCTGCTGACATTTCAGATTTAATTTGTATTTTGTTTCTCCTTCATACTGTAATTGATTTATCCTTACCATCATCTGGGCTAATCAAGCCATGGCGTATGCAGAAGTTGATTGCTATCAAAGCAGAATTAGATTTGAATTCACTAGTAATGGTCTTCTCTAGCACCTAGTAACAAAACATAAAACATTCAATGTTGTACATGAATCTTTTATAATTATATCTTCATAAGTTACATTAAACAAAATGTCAAAAATAAATTTGTAAATTCTCAATTAGTGTTAATTTTAATTAGTCTGGGTCAATAGCAAAAGTGCATGTATACCAGTACATTTCAAATGTCATCTACCCCATAGGGACCACATACTAGTAATAATGACCTAGAAACTTCCCTTGGGTACCATTAATTTGCACATGTACACCTGAAAGGTAGGATTACCTAAGTATATTGGCGGAAATAATTATATCTTCAAAAACTGCCTACACAAACCTGACATATTTGAAAGACTATAATTCAAGCTAAATGAAAATGGCTTAAAAACCTATTTTAACTGTATGAATTATGGGCCCAGGAAAAGCAAATTCAAATGTGTTAGCTGGAGAGAAAAATATAGAAAATGCATGTAAAACTACAAAATATTTCTTAGATATATCTGCTTGAAAATTTATCAGAATGATACTACATCAGTTATATTAGTATTTAAAAAATTTAGCATGATCCCTGTTTTCTTTTTTTCACTTATCTGAAATTTTGAATTATGTATGAGGTGGCGATGAATAGAATAACAGAAAAGAAACATTACTGAATGTACATGTACATTTCTTTCCATGAATTACCCCTCAAAAATGAAAAAAATACTTATAATATGAAGCAGTTCTAGTCTATGGAAAAATGAACTGCATATCAAGTCGACAGTAGTTATGGAGTTAAATACACACTGTCATATCTGATATGATACGCTATTCAAACACCTGAACCCTGCTTATCTTATAAGCCAAGCAGGCACCTAAATTGACACGGCTTATTTCAGTTTCTTGATCCATATCAGTCACAAGTTGACAAACCATTAACAGTACTGGAAGAATAACTTCATTTTTTTTCTCAGGTCTGATAAATCACATCTGGACCAATATTTGATGAATAATGACCATGAGGGTATCTACTGAAGCTAATCTGATTCAGTGGTGTAGCCCTGCATATCTACAGCGACGAGACTGCCATTTAGTGAAAAAGTTTGAAAATATGGTGTGTGGTTCGGGGAGGGGGGGGGGGGGGGCGCTGCCTAGACAAATGACTTTTTCATCTCCCAAAAAGTAGGAAATCTGCCGATAATTGGAAAAATATCATCCCTGCCTCTATCTTGGGTTAGGTATGGGGGTATATAACCCGAAAAACACTTGAAGTGGACAGCATTTAGTAGTGAAGTGATCTTTATAAAAAAGATAGCCAGAAGTTTTTAAACAGGTGTGCAATTTTAATTCATGTTCCCACCTCCTGTATTGTCCACAGGTAAAACTCTGCCACCTCTCCATCAGCATTCTCAGGAACGAAGTCCTCTGGCACCTCCAGGTCCATTATGTACTCACACTCTGGGAACAAACCCCTCTCATCTTCATAGAAATATCTACAAAATGGAAAGTGGCATACTTTCTATAAAATACACTACTGCCTTTCTGAAGAAAATATGATTCAAACTGATACACACAATTTATTCATGAATATCAAAAAGACTCATCACAATATTTTAATTAGTGTATTGGCACAAACTGACAACAATGTCTTATGAAGTTTGAGATTATCAAGTTAATCATTTGGCACATAAATTATATATAAAGACACTGTTTCAACTCATTTGAGATTACCAACAAACAGTATTGTTCCAACTAGTTTAAGATTATCAAGTAAATTATTTGACAAAAAACTTAGGATACTCTTCCAACTGGTCTGAATTAATCAAGTAATTTATTTGGCAGGAACTTACGACACTTTTAGAACTGGTTTGAGATTGTCAAGGAAATCATTTGTAATGACACAAACTTACGACACAGTCCCAACTGGTTTGAGATTATCAAGTAAATTATTTGGCACAGAGGCTTCCTCCTGGCATTCAGACCTGGCACACTCCATAATGTTGTGTTTTGATGACAGTCCACCTGCTGCCTGGAAGTAAACAAAAGGTCAAACTGCATCAAAACCATCAAATAAAATACTGATGCTTTGTTTACTGAATATATAAATATTTGATTACATTTTACTAACTTATTTTAAGGTTGAATTGCAACCCCACTACCATTACTAGGTTAGGGGTATTCAATATCTTTGTGTGTTTCATACAATAGGCTATTCTGTTTATGTTTTGGCAGTATCTAATAAGACTGAAAGAAACCTTACATATGACAGAACTATGAAGTGGTCTACATTAGACCATATTTCGAACAAAACACCATTGTATACATGTATCCTTCAGTATTGGATTCAGCAATATTATAGAGTATAGTGTCCTTGCCACTGGGAAGAAGATACATTATTATTGCTTTTAAAGCTTAATTTTGCTTAACAACCTAATAATGTAAACTGAAAATTGTAAATTAACAATGATTACAAGTAAAACAGAGCCATTACCAAGTTGTCCAGCATGTTTGGCCAGGTGGGTTTTGTCTTAGATCTCCGGGCTATCCACATGCACACCCCCTTGGTAGGGTGGCGCGTCCAGCCATTGATGTGGACACCATATTGCTTTACCCCAAACAGACCTGAAACAGGTAGGGTTTGTTATATGGTATACATGTATATAGTACCTGCACTCAACATCTAAAGGAGTATGTGCCCTCTACCGGTATCAGGGTTTTCACAGATGTTTATCTGGCTTTTCACTTGCTGTGAACGTTTCTGCACTATGTCCCATATAAAGATTTCTTGCACAAAATGACATCACAGCTCAACTGGCCCCTAGTAGTGAGTAATATCTGTATAGTCAATCGTAATGCAAGTCAGTATATACGGGGGTGGGGGTGGGGTATCAATCAATGCACCATTTACAATAAAAAAGTTTTCAAAAATGCTATCACTAAGCAGAGGTCTAACAGTACAAGCTGTACACAACTCCCACTACTTTGTGATACTTACGGTACAAGTCACAATAATAATTCATCTTTACTTCTACCACAATGATCTACCTATGAGTATTGTTTAAAACTTACAGGTTGCTGCCCTCTCCATCTTCATTAAGGGAGGCTCACTGAACTTATACCAAATGTTAAAATACTGAAATCAACCAGAAAATATGACATAATACACATGTGCCATGTACACCCCAGCACACAGAAATTTACTAACACTGATCAGGCAGTAGGAAATTTTAACAAGTGTTGGATTTTTTTTTTTCATTATCTACTAGTACAGATGTCATATTTTCATTATCTACTAGTATAGATGCCATCTTATTACTACTGGTAGGCCAGCCTGACCTAAATGGGTTGTTTTCTGAACCGTATTTGACCAATTAAATGACCAGAGGGTTGACAATAGATAGTTGTTACCCACATTTGTTCAAGTATAACCCACATCTGTTACAGTGCAATCCACATTGTTACAGATCTAGAGTAACCCCCATTTGTTAAAAAAATTCTGGTTACAGTGTAAACCACATTTTTATGGTATAATCCACACTGTTACAGTGTAACCCACATTTGTTACAGTGTAACCCACATTTGTTTAAGTATAACCCACATTTGTTACAATGTAACTCACACCCACCTCATCTCTCCAGCCTCTCAAAGTCTTGAACACATCCTTCTCCCTGAGGTCCAGCAGCACCTTCTCCACTGCCTCCGATCTCTCTTCAAATGTCTGAAGTGATGGATTCAGGTGGACCTGTGAGGAATAGCAAGAATGTATTACCACATACTATATCAGCCATTGAGGTGTAGCCTAGGTGTTACACATTACTGTAAAGTTAAATGAAATTGATCTGTTTGGTCATGAATAGTGTAATGGAAACTTGTTTGTTAATAAATGAACACGTATATACGTATGATATACAACATAAACCTGATATATATATATATATATGATATACCAGAACAAAGTTTGAAGTGAGAGTGGATATCACAAACACTGTATACCTTGGCAAAAGAAGGTATAAGAAAAGTGAGACACTATTAACTAAAGGCTCTTTTACCTATATATAAGTAATTCAATTTGTACTCGTGCACTTCTAAAATAAATTGTATTTTATACATGTAGTATTGCTTATCTTTAAACCACATTTCAAGGGCATTTCTTCTCTAACATTGTACTAAATCTTTAAAATGAGCTTACTAGTATAATATAATATAATATAATATAATATAATATAATATAATATAATATAAGCAATACAATTTGTACCTGTATATTTAAAAATAGGTTCTAAAATAATTATACTATTCTGAGGATTTTACTTGCTGAAACAAGTTCACTTTCTTCATTCTGCTTGACAGATAATCAATATCAGTTCTGTTGAGAGTGGGGGTTGAAGGGGGGGGGGGGGGAGTAGGTGACTCTTGCTTATAAGTAATAGCCAGGCTGTGAAGTAAACCTATATAGACTGTATCCCTGAAGTATTCGGTGATAGACTATATCCCTGAAGTATTCGGTGCCATGTGAAAACAGTACAAAGAAAAGTTCTTCTCTGAACCTTGTTCTAGATCTTCAAAATAAATTTTCTACAAATTGTATATCTTACGCCTATTTTTAAATGAAGCTGCTATAGACAGAGAACATTGAAATCCGCTTGCACTGTTGAGATCAACTTGACTGCATATTGATCACTTGATTTCAGCTTGCACATGATGACTACTGATAACTGGGCTAGACTATTCACCACCGTTTATTTAGCACCCTCAGTTTCAGAGGGATGATGGTCATTCTCCTCTACTCAGCCTCATAATCGTAAACAGCTATATTATGGTTTGATAGGGCAGTCTTTGTCAGGCTCTGAAACTGAGGGTGCCTTTCAACCTGTGGGAGTGTTTTCATTTTACAGCCAAGGCATTTTCCTCATGAAATAAGATAATTAACCTTGATATTATCATTCCCTTGAGAGTAGGGTATGTGGAAAACATCCGTGTATGGCTTCAGGTGAGCTAAGATGTCCGGTCGTATTAAACCAACTTGCTTGTTTTCAATGAAGAATGGCCTGCACTCCTTTCTTGAAGAAGCTGAAAAAAAATTAAAAATTATAAGAATGTTGCTGAATGTAACATATTCATCAAGGATATCTTTAAAATCTGTACAGTCATTCCAAGCAGTACAACAAAAATATTTGCACTCTGCATAATATATTGTGGGTTTTCAAATACATGAAATGATTATTTGCAGTAGCAAGAATTTAAGAGTTTTAAAATAAAAGAATAGCTAAAATAATAATATAAAAAGTGCAAAGAATATACCTACTGGATAGTGCGCAAAACAGAAATTGCCAAATCATATTTCTAAATATTCAATCCAACTGCTTCTTATATTTTCCAAGCAGTTCTGTTGCTCTAAGGTTCAAATATTACACCAAGCATTGCCAATACCTTCAGTTAGTCTGAAAACACCTGTAAACTCAGGGTGTAGGTCAGAGGAGGACACAGCAGTACGCCAAGGTGATCCTACCAGAGAAATAGAGTGAGGCAAACAAAGACAAACACTGCAGGTTTACACTTATTTCCTCCAAATGCTTTGAGATAATTCACTCTGTATATAGCTGCCATATATATTTTAAATGGTGAAAATGTTTAATATTTTCTGGTATTTATTACTCATTAAGTGACAAAAAAGTTATTTTGTGAAAAATCTAAATAAAAACTTTAATATACTGGAACCTTTATGTTCTATGACTAACCTGAAAAATATTAATTGGGGTACGTGACTGAGGCACTTTTCTTGTTTCTATCCAAATATAATTTTGTTAACAAAAAGCTAAGCAGTATGTGAATATGATAAAAATTAATAAGATTGTTCTATTTCCCTTTGCCAGCAATATTGTCTTAAGCATTTGGTGAAAATATTTTCTGCTTGTACTAGTACATATATAAACCAAATAGCTGAGGGTTGAAAATTCTTAGTCATCCCCATTAGCCAAGAGCTCCTTTTAAATTTTTTTTTTTTTTGAAAGTAGAGCTCTCTATTTCTCAAAGCTATGTTCTAGTAGATATTATCAGGTTGCCAATTCTATGCAGTCACAAAATGCTGCACTTGCTGAAATCCAGCCTCCTCTGTCTCCAAGGTATACTTTTATGAATTCCTAATGACCTGATAAACAAGACAATCTTTTGGTTTAGTGTATTGATTACTAGTAAAAGATCCATGGTGATGGCAACTCTGTGAATTCACACTGAATAATTTATCAAAAAGAATGATGCTTTACTCTGTTTGACAGTAAGAGCTGGCTGAAAGGGGAGACATGAATTTCTAACCCAGCGTTTCTGAAGGCCTGATGGGTTTCACAAGACAGAGAAACTCAATCTAAATAAATTGTTTTATTTTTTGTGTCCATTCAAAAAAAAAAAAAAAAAATTGGAGATTGTTGTTATCATTTATGAAGTTATCCTAGGATGCCAATTACAAACCTTTTTGGTGTTAGCCAAAATTCTCCTATAATTCTGTGATCAAATGATATTCACATCTTTCAGTACAGATACCAACAGACTAAACAAGGCATCAAGGAGTGTGGATATAATTTGTCAGTTTGCAAAATCAGCACTGCATCTATATTACCAATTAAATGCCTAAAGAAATGAAGTGGAGGCAGAAGTATCTGATATGGAATTTATTTTGTTACTAGCCACTCCTGCTCTTGATCATTTAATAATTTTATGTTTCGGTAAAGGAGAACATTTAAAGGAATAGTATCCAAGTAAATCACATAAAAAAGAAAACAAGCAAGCAATAGAGATTGAATTTCTTCGGTGTGGTAGACTTCTAACTTGAGGTTAACTTAACTACAGGTAAGGAAAATTATACAAAGTATTAAGCTTTATGCAATCAATAAATAAAATACAGATACCCCAGCAGAAGAAGCAGTGCCCTTAAAGCATGACATGCTGGAAGAAATTATGGGTTATAAATAAATGTAACAAGCTGCCATACCTATTTACTAAACCGGCAGGCAGAAATAGTTTTCTGGGTCGTCCAGAAGATGGTCTGAATTTTAGTTTACATTGACAGGTTTCTGCCAGGGTAGTATCTTTATCGGAAGACGGTCAAAAATGGAGCATGGATCAACAAAGATAATTTGGCAAACTGTCAGAAAATATCTCTGGATCTGCTGGGGGTGGGGGTAGTACTCCAGTACATGCACATGTAGTAGCTGAGAGTTGAACCAATGAGTCATTAAATCTTTGATGAGAATATAATCAAACAGATTAATACTTATCTTTTTGTGTACATTATTCTGACTCACAGGGTTCTCATCCACCCACCAGTAACGTAATAAGGTGATGATGTTAATAACAGAGCAAAAGTGAAAGAGGAAGTCTTCACATATTTTACTGTACATTATGATAATAATTTCGACATGTACATGTACATGTACCAGTAGCCATAATATAAATATCAAGGGAATCCAAAACAAATATGTTTTAATTTACACGGTTGAGGTAGGAATCCAAATCATCAGATGATATTTGTCCTCAGTTGCAGAGGGGACAGCGTGATTCATTATTTAAGTAATTCGCCTAAGCCTTGGCCTGTACATCTTGTTACTGTAGCCTCTCTGCTAACGTACTGAACCGGTTTAATCCAGTCAATTTCATTGTTTATCAAAGGAATAACAATATTATTGTGCTTAGTAAACAGCACTGAGAGAGGTGATACTTGCAGGGAGCTACCTGCACTCTTACCTTGATCAAGAAAACTGTTACATTTCGACACCACCCGCATAAAACCTTCGCTAAGATTCTTCGTGTTCATCTTCCTTCCCACTGTTGATGTTCCAACTTTAACCAATGAGATGAATGGATTCAATTAACTGCAGCTTTCAGGCACAACTTCCGTCAGCTGCTAAATTTATTATCGTGGAGCACTTGACTTTCGCGTAGCCTTTTAGAGTGCATTCGGAACAGATGATCAGCGGACTAACTGATCTGCCGACTAAATATGGCCGACCCCATTAAAAAACGATGATCACCCTGCCTCAACACGGGCCTTAAACGGGTTAAATCTCGGCTCCGATGCTTAATTACTAGGCCCCGTTGCAACGGGAGGCGGCGAGTCCATCAGAAAAGTAACGGCACTGCTTTTTTATGGGAGTTTGGCCATATTTTGCTCCCGGATCATCCGTTCTGAATGCGCTCTTACCCCAAAAATGATTAAAGAAGTAGAGGGGACTCTCTTTCTTTCTCTCTTTAAATTCTCGACTTCACAACCACACTAAGAAAATATGGAGGTGGTAAGGATTTTTCTCTTCTTCTCTCAACTAAAGCATTGCACAGACCCACAGTACTCTCTCAACCAGCTTGGTTCCGTTAGTTTGTCCGTATGTCTATCTGTCCAACAGAAAAAGTTATCGACCGATTTTGATGAAATTTTCAGGAACTCTCAGAAGTGGACCAAGGAACAGATGATTAGTTTTTGGTGGTGATCCAGATCAATAATTAATCAATAATCAATAATAAAAAATAATAAAAAAACTAGACTAAATCATTAAAGAATGAAAATTTAGGGGTGAAACGGCATTGAGTGGAGACTTTGCTGCTTTGGCGGACGTCTGCGCTCTCGTTAGAATTTTGTCGACCTAGCTGATGCGCGCATGTAGGCCTACTTAGGCCTACTGAACTGTTAAGTTTCATCTCAAATCTCAAAACCCGACCAGGTGTTATAGAGTGGAATCATTTTTTTTTTTTTCATATTATGTATAAAAATAAGCAGTTGTTTCATATGTGCTTATATTTCGCATTACTACATACATGTAGACCCTGTCAATTGAAACTGTACATAAATATTTCCTTTAGAAATGGTCAAGCTAGAGCTTGACAGATTATAGAAGCCTTGCAAATTAAACTCGAATTCTAACTAAAATAAATGTGTCAACTACATGTAGGTACATTGCGAATAATTGGGGAATGGCCGTTACATGCTGTAACATTAATACACAAAATGCAAGGAAATTCTGCTTATAACGAATTTAATCATAATCCAGAAAACGAAAATAGCTTCTATTTGAAATATAATACAGAAGGACCAAACGTGCATGTACAAGGGTCAGAGGAAGCAGGAAAGGCAGGAAAAGTCTGCTCAAAGAAATATATCTGGTGACTAAGAATCTGACAGTAGGCCTACAGAAAACTTAAGTTTTTGTCCCGCGGATTAAACGTACATATACGAACACGGGTACAGGGGGGTACTTTCTTCTAAAGAAAAGTTACAACGTGCAAAAATAGGCCTACGGGTAACAAATATATGATTTAATTTACATCAAGTCAACATTTGTATATTTGTCTTTTGAACTGATGTTTACCTATCTATATCCATACTTTTTCCCCAATGCCATGGATATACAGCATAATTTCAGGTACATATGAACAACAACAACAACAACAGCAATAATAATGACATACGTTTGTTTATTTAGAGTCTAAAATTCATGAAATATGTTCTGTAGACTTTACAAATGAAATGCAAAGTATGGTATAGGCCCCTACACTTATTAGTTTGCTATATCTTTTTATAAAAGCAGGTACTGAAGGTACTTAGGGGGTCCGTTTACATACACTGTATACCTGTACAGTACGTGTATATGTACACGGCCGACCAAGTTAGGGCCCATGTGCTTTATTACTACAGTATTAGATGTAATGACATGACGGAAAGTAAATATACTACTTAGTTATAAAATTGCTGCATCACTTTTTAGCTGTGATAGGCGTCAGGCCCGTAGCCAGCAATTTCAAAAGGGGGGTTCTTTTTCTGAAAAAGTGGACCTTTTTCCATAAAAACTTCATGTACCTAGATCAAATTTTACCCAGAGTGGACCTTTTCCCAGCAAAAAGGGCGGTTCTTTCGAACCCCCCGAACCCCCCCCCCTGGCTACGGGCCTGGGCGTACTTACAGTACATGTATATACATATAAAGAAATGATATCAAAATACAGGGGTGGATCCAGAGATATTTTCTGACAGGCTTGCGAATTATCTTTATTGATCCATCCTCCATTCTTGACCGTCGTCCGACAGAAAAAATTTGATATCCGTCAATGTAAACTTGAAAATCTTCAAGAAGACCCGGGAGACGGCCTAAATCCGCCCCTGTAAACATTACAACACTGAAGTAAATAGTGTAGCCTATATAGTTATGACATATACCTGCACCCCGGCCCTTTTAAGCTGTGATAGGCGTACTTACATGTACATACATATAAAGAAATGACAACAAAATATTACACTACTGAAGTAGGCCTAAAACTTTCAATATCACAACAACTCCAGTACGAAGTGCTATAGACCCTTCGCTGTGAAACACGTGATAGATCATAAAATGTGTGGTGCATAATAATTGCTAGAGTTTTGTATTCTCAAATTCCAACAGCTTAAAATTAATGTACGTATTTTTTAATTATCATTTTCACTTAATTAAAAAACAGTTAGTATGTCAGGAAAATAAAAATTTGACTACTATATATGAAAATCTATGATCATGTACAATTCCCATACAACACTGAGTATGTTCCAGGACGAAAAAATCATCACATCTCAGTTTTTATATGGTTATCCACTAGTCTGAATCCCTTCATGTTGAAAGCCACAAAAGGGTATTTTAAAGCCCATATTTCTATACTAAAGTAACGATATCTGGACAAGGAAATTTCTATTAGTAATTCCGAATTTAAGTTTCCGCATATATAGGCCTACATCATCGCTGATAAAACCGGATTTCTATTGTAAGCAAACTTTGGTCAAAGAAATAAATATAGGTTTCCGCAATTTTACCAGAAAATGATCCTAAGCCTTTTTACAGTACATGAATACTTAGGGGTATTATGAAGAGTATTTTGCACAGGCCTTTATGTCCCAACTTACTAGTAACGCAAACATTGAGATAAGGTTCCAAATATAAAACATAAAGGACCGCAACTTTTCTTAAATAAAATTACACCGACGAATTATAAATGTCGTTTTCAACTTATGCATAGCCCATGTTGTCAAAGTCTCCTGTTTCATAAATATCGTTTTCAACAAACTCCACTTCATCATCATCATCAATAGACTGGGTATAGCCTCCATTTTGAAACTGCCCTGCAAGTTCATATGTACTGCTGCAATCCTGTCTTGAAACGGAAGATGTCTGGGCAGAAGGTTTGCTGACATATTCATACGGATTGTCTGGATAGCTTGCAGGGGTATTTTGTTGCTTCTTGCCTTTTTTGCTCTTTTTGGATTTGTCAGGCACGGCATATAGATCCTGTACATCAGAGGCCTGGTTTTCGGTATTAGAATTCTGTCTCATATTATTTGACTGATCATACCGGTCTGCCATTGGACATTCTCCCTCGAGTTCGTACAGATTTGTGTCACCGTGAGTATTGGATGTTGTGTGCATTGTGTTGCTGAGCTTTCCGTTGCTTGATACATCGATATCTTCATTTGGGTTTGCCATACGTTTCCTGAAAAGAAAGGAAAAACGTTCCATTTACCAATCAATCCGTTCAAAGCAAAATCTATAAATAAATGCATCAATTGAATAAAAAAATATAGACCCTCCAAGTGAGAACAGTACCTATTATGAACCAGCTGGTTATAAAACGATGAACAGAATATCAATATTTAAGTAAAAACAAATCCAACAACCAACGAATTTATAGATCATGACGGATATACATACAACATTTTAAATGATACCATCAATGTGCATCAAATGCATAAAAGGTTAAATATCAAAGAAAATGTGTTAATTATATGGTTATATGGTATTGGTGAGACCCAGGCCTATCATTAGCTTTTACAGAAATGAAATAAAACAACTCGTTTTGATGACACTTACCGTCTACGTTTGACGAATACAACAACTATTACAACAAGTAATATCAGTACAATTGCTCCTGTAACGCCCACACCGACACTGGCACCTATGTTAGAATCTGTGGACGCTGCTTGGGTACCAGCCCCAGGCAACACCGCTGAATGATAATAAGGAAATAAACAGGTTACCTTAAACCACTTTATATGTTTTTATGGATAACAGATAGCGTATTTTTATTTATGGGAAAATTAAGCCTTAATATTGTGCCTAAAAATAGGTGAACTACTTCACAAGTATTTTCTGACACCTCTGCATAGCATTTCACATGTATTCACGACTAACAAACTTCTTTAAAAAAGGATTCATAAATCAACCCCAATTCAGCCAGTTTTAGAATACCTTTCCACCTTTGCACACAAAACCTGTATTAATGGTAAGTAGACGCCATTAGCTTTGTAACGTTACACAAAGCGAACAATATTTTAAAGAATACAAAATAAACGTACAGGATAACATACCCTACCCTTAGTTCTTATTCCAGTGTATTTTTTAACTAAAGAGCGGACAAAGCGCTTATTTACACACACACACACACACACACACACACACAAGACAAACACGTTGCCTTTATTCCGTTATCTTCTCAGGGTGCTCTGATTCTCAGGGTACTTGTACTTATACATTATAAATATTCATTAAAAACCCGCACCTGTACAACTAAGAGAATCCACCCCAAATCTACCGGTTGCATCGCACGTCAAAGTTACACTGGTATTACCATCCGGGAACTGAAATCCTTTCATGCATTTGAATTCAACTGAAGTCATGAAGAAAAGATTCGTATAATCAGAAGTTGTCACTGTATTGTTTAAATAAGGCAAAGTGCATGTTCTTTTTTTGCAGTCAGGTACAGGCGGTTCCAAAGTGTCTGTTCTGATGCATTGTGACGTAAACGACGCTTTGACGTCATATCCAGCAAAATGATATCCAGGAAAGCAAGAAAACGTCACATTCTGCTTGAAGGCATATGGTCCTTCTGCAAAATTCAAATTCAGTTTATTACCAGGAAAACCACACGAAATAGGAACACAGCTAGGTAAATTCTGGTCAAATGTTCCATCGGCTCGGCAAGTAAGGTTCTTTACTGTTGACGTATCGTTGAATTGGAAGCCCTCAGTGCATGTATATGTGACAGTTTGGCCCTCAAAGGTAACGGGACGCTGTGTAACTTGTCTCTGGCGATTGCCCAGATGGAGGAATTCACAGGTTCCTGGAAGTGGAGATTTTTTTTCAATTTCTTTATCTGCTCTAGTTTATTCAAATTCGTATAAGTTATAATACCGACAGAAGAATTACGGAAACAACCAAATAAAAGGTCAACCTGCAGCAGGGTGACGATTTCATTTATAATTCTCAATTTATTCTTAGTTTTCTATCTCGCTGCCTTCTTTATTGCAGACTTACTGATACATGTTTTTCTCTCCCCTTCAAATTCTTCTCTAAGACTACATGTCAGTGTGAAGCTGGAACTGGAATCGCTGAATTGATACCCACTGTTGCAAGTGAAGGTAACAGTGTTGTTGAATCTGTAAACTTCAGTTGCCGGAGAGCGAACTGTGTTAGGAATAGTTGGGGCAGAACATTCCACGACTAAAAACATAGTGTATTTTTGTAAATAGTCGCGGCGACGTAAAGCTGACGCTTGGTTGCATAAAAACTCTAAAGATTTCCATTAAAACTGTACCTAAAGGTAACGACACTCCAGCTCAGTCAAATAAATGTAGCCATACATATATTTTTGTATGTTGACCATTTCTTAGAGCATCACGAATAAATGGCTAATTATATTGATAACGAACCTAAAAGTTTTACCTTGCATCACATTTTTAATAAAAATGTAGCATAAGTTATTGTTTAGGTGCATATTCATGTAGGCTATAAAACAACTTATATGTACATCGTAACATGTTTGTTTCTTTGTGCAGGCAATCTCGGTCTTAGTTATAAAGTATGAAAAAAAAACAATGGAAAACAGTGTCAGACTTACAACTAAGACACTGGTAACCGGTACGTCCCAGGTTACACACACACTCCGCTGAAGATATCTGTGTCTGTGAGGTGTATGTTCTCACACACGTTCCTCCTGTAGAGCAGGGACAGTTGTAGGCGGGATTACCTGTAGGAAACAAACCAAACATTATAGCTACTGCGCTGTTGATTCATACACAATATTTCTGATTGTGTAATTAGCCCATTCATGACGTTACTGGATATGTTCATGTAGGTATTTCATTACAGCCACCGCCGGTTATATCGTATATTATACGTTTTTAAGCACGAGTAATATTACTTTCTGAAAATTATGTGTAACTTATTATTCATCCCCATTACAAATCCATCGATAAAATTATAAGTACAAAGCAAGGCATTTTGAAAAAACGTTATAACTAGTGCAAATGAATTCCTCAAATGGCATTTTACCAGTGCATCCCTTCATTCGATAGTGACGAGGACCATTTCTATAGTAAAGGGCACCGCACGACGACCGGTAATGGAAGTAACAGTTGCCATCCCAGTCCACTGCTTCACATGTCTCTGCTTCGTAACAGGCCTTCAAACAGTGGGATAATGGCTTGTAACTCATATACGTGCCACCATTGAGACCTCTATTTACATACGCATACAACACGTATTCTGGCACTGAAATGAAATGATGTGCTTACATTTAATTTAGTGATTACGAGGTGTGCACAACACACTCTTTGAGTCAGATATCTACATGGAAAAAGTTCAATGAAGCCAAGCCGCATTCTTGTAATCACAATTTTAGTGCACCCTGGGTGTCGTGCAACCTCCACCCCCTCCCCCAGCCGCTCCTGTCATACATAATAACTGAGTAATATAAAACTGCTGTATCCCGTAGTACGTAGGTAAATCAAGGGGCATTGAGTACTTGTATGTACAGGGTAAACCACTCACGATCAACTTTTAGCCACGAAATGTTTGCTCAGCGCGGTCCGGTGGGAATATGTTTTCAATCTAAAACCCATGCCTCACAACCCAGCCCAGCATTTCAAAGTAAAGCTCTTCTTTTTCCGGTGCACGGAATACTTTTTAAAAATGCACTGTAAGGAACGGCTATATTCCCATTCGAATATAGAAATATATTTTGCTTTGATAACAAACATAAAGTATTTCACATCGAAAACAGAGGATAAGAAAATATATAGAAAAAAGTGAGTTTTATTCAAAAGTAATCTGCAGTACTAATTCATATGCTGGTAGAAGGAAATACTCACGTCTACATACTGGAGGTTCCTTGTCAAAAACATTATTTTTGTCAGTACATATAATGATAAGAGAACCGTATATATGGATATATGGTGCTAAACACCTGTAGGTAACACTTTGGTGACTGTTCACACGGGCAGCAGTTGGAGTTCGACTTGAATGAGGTACGTCTGGCACGGCACAACCTATAACAAAGGATTTGGTAAATTGATTTTAATCTGTTTATTGACGGGGAAAACCTTTTGTAAATTTGGGGATCGCGACAGCTTCCTTGCAGGAACGTTAGGTGAAACGCTTCCCATTTCTTTGTACAAGTGACACTCGTCCCTATACTAACCCCAATACTCCAACTAACCCTAACCTGTACTATCATATGGGAGCCCGGACTTCCATTCCTGTTACGCTGGTTTCTAGTCTGACTCAACAAAGCAATCACGATGCAAAATTAGAACAATCTTTTGAACTTTTGAAATAAGTAAATGCATGCACTGCATGGTCCAGGATTTTGGTTAGATGTAAAAGGGGGTGGGAGCATGAATAAAAAGTATCTTGCTTACATTTGCTAAAAAAACATAAATCAGCAGAGAAGAATGGTTGTAGGGCACAGGACAGAGAATGTGTTCCTCTTTTGTCCCATGTCGCGCTTTTTATTTATATTTATTGTTATTCATTGGGAGATTAGGGGATGGGGTGTACATGTACATCCTGCGTGAAAACTTGTTTCCCTTACCTGCGTCGCTTTCTTGCCATTCACGAAGTAAACAAAATATCAGAGATGATTTTAAAATGCTCGACAGCCCTTTCATTGTATCGTTGTCTTTGCCCTGAAATAAATGTTAATAAAAAGTATTTTGATATGGAAAACAAAGATCCATGCTTATATAATATCACCATAGAGGGTGACTCATTATCAATTAGCAATGTCTTCTAAAATGAGGGTTACCGTAAATGTAATAAACAAAGCAATACTCGTTTCTAAAGAGAAAATGACTCTTCGTATGAGATCTATATATCACAATATAAACATTGCAAACAAAAATCAAAGAAATATAATATATTCTGCTTTACCACAAAAACGGCAGTAATAGCTATCATTCTGATAACTGAGCCTGTCATCAGGCCACGTGATCTTCATAGATGGCTGAACAATCTTATAATCTCTTAAGAGATTATTATAAAAAACACATTTTTTTAGAAAAAAAAAAAACAGAGACTAACTTTGAATGTAGAAATAGATTCATTAACCATTGGTAAGTAAAAGAAAATTATTTTTACTCCAAATTCATTTTTGGCCAAAACAAACAGTTATTATCCCTTTAAGCATGTTACAAAAAAGCCAAACCACTTTATAAGAAACGGTGTCTATGTGCAGCCTTATCTTATGATACAATAAATAACATATATATAAATGAATAAATAATAAATGGTATATAAACAATAAAATGAAAAATCAAACTCACTGACGTATGAACACTCAAAACAACCACTAACAATGAAAGCAAAAAATAAAAAAGCACGAAAAAAAAGTGTGGTCTAAAGGATACTGAAATAAAATTTTACGTGTGACTTCCTGTCTTCCTGTTGACGAGAGCATTTGTATGCAAAAATGTGATAAGTTACATATGCGATAATGGAAGTTTTCTGCCATTTTTGGCGATATAATGGCTGGAAAATTTGCAAAGTTCAATTCATGGTAAAATGAAGGTCAAACGTTAAAATCAAGGTCACAGTAAGATTGTCAATGCATGACTTCTTATTCGAGTTCAGTAGTAACTATAGACAAATCTGTGTCAGTTTGGGGGATATAAGGGTAGTAAAATTGGTACCATGTAATTGCTAAACATCGAGCGTTGCGACGATACACTTTTTGAAATAGCGCAGCCCCTAAAGCATTTCGAAAACATATATACGGACACCTTCAGAGTTGCGTTTGACATGCTCTACAAAATACAGCAAACAAAAGGTCTCTAGCTTTAGCGGTTTCAGAATTAGAGTTTTCAGTTTCGGCTGTTTATTTCTTGAACATGCACAGATTGACCCAAAATAAGTTCGGTCACATACTTGTTTGGATACAATTTGCCTCTTCAGAGAAAAAAATGGATGTAATATGATCAACACTGCAACCTGTATAGAGTGCTAACAGACAAACTTAAAAACGAACAGACTGGCTGACAGACAGACTGGCCGACAAAATGTCGAAAACGATAGTTTTTCACAAGAAACAAATTAAAAAAATAAGGTTTGAATAAATAATTAAATAACTTTAAAAATCACCCAGGCATTTTCCTCTTAGATCTTTGATAGAAGAAAATCTAAAATTTTAATTGAATCAACAAGGAAGCAAATAATCCCAGGCACTACAGCATGTTTTAGCACTACCGTAATACTACACGGCTGGCGTGATGCAACTGATTAACACTGCTTGTTGAGTAAGTTCTGATAAGGTAGCACGCCTTTTTGTTATCTACTTTTTATCTACCTACTAGTACATGTACCCTCCTTATATGTGGTGTTCCGAAGGAGTGTCCGTCCTCTCTGGTCATTTGTTTTCAAACCCACCACTGCCAAATCAAAGACATTTAAGCGACTCACCTGTACCAGTATGTTTTAAGTAAGCCACAATTTGATAGCTTGTCTATTTCGTATAAGAGTCACCTAAACTCCATTGCCCTCCCCCTAAACAGTAGGAATTGAACTTGTGGGTAGGCTGATGAAAGAGAGTAAAAAAACAAACCCGTACCGTAAATACAATTTAGAACCTATATTTTAAATTGCACAGGTCCAGTCCTTATAATGCCTTATTTGAAAACGGGTCCAAGATATAACGCTCACTGAAAAAAGGATTTTAAAATTTATAAACCTAGGTTGTACTGGTATCTCCACCCTGCCTCGTGTTATTAAGAAGTCTCACCAGAGAAGACCAATGTAATCGTTGTGTCGCCCTTCTGCCACAGGTAGGTTGGTGACAAACCGTAATGACGCGGTCTTCTTACGGTTCTAATTACATACACTGTAGGCATTATAACGTCGGTAAAATTTGAGAGAAATACATGTACGGTTCAGGCTAAATAGAACATGTCACTTACCGTACAAAGCAATTTCACTTACCTGCCTAGGAGCTCATACACTATCAAAGACACGATTCAATCCTGATCAATCTACATCAATTCTTTCTGGGCATCTTGCCTTTTTTGCTGCTTACACGTACTAATTATAGCACACATGTAACAGGTATTATACTAACCCTAGATTTCCTACAGCCAAATTTCTCTCTGTTGAATGACCTTAAAAAGATAAGGCTTGTCAAAGTGTGGCGAGGCCTAGGTGCGTATCTGCAGAGTTTTGTGAACAAGGAAGTGACCCATTTTATATTTTACACGACGCACGGTGTAGCTCCGTGTTCACAACAAAGCTGCTAAGGGGGAGAGGTAAACATGAATAACAATGGTACCCACTGTCCTGTAATATATGAAAATACCGCACTGTTGTTTGTTCAGATTGCAGAAGTTGATAATATAAAGTTACACTTGTAATGTAACAGATTAATGTTCTTTACAGGTACTTTTATTTGAGAGCACATACTGTCTTCACACTTTTCGTCACGTAAGCCGTCATTTCTTTTGTCTTAATTTGCACCTTCAAGGGATTTAAATATTGTATTAGCATGACGCCATCTCACATGCCGATGTTAATTTACAACAGACGTATATTTACCGTACCCTCTACCAGGGCGACTGATAGATTTTTACGGATATTCACAGATATGACTGTAGCTAGATAGATTGTCATTTTAAGCTCAAGTCAGTGACTTCAGTTGAAAATGACAATCTATCTAGCTAGAGACATCTGTGAATATCCGTAAAAATCTTTCAGTCGCCCTGTTAGAGGGTATATTTACCGCATGCGTACACTGTACGTGGTGGATGTGAATCGAGCTGACATTGAAATAAAAAGCATGCGACATACTTCCGGATAGAAGTAACTGTGCGCGATATTGTTTGTGTGTGTGTGTGTGGGGGGGGGGGGGGGAATGACGATACTAACGTTTGTACTTCCCCAGAAAAATTATGTAACTGATCTAAAACGGTACAACAGTGTTTTTTTTAAGAATTTTAAAATCCCTCTACACCCCCCCCCCGTAAATATCCTCTGAAGTTTGCGACCTTCGAAAATGGTTCAACATGTTACATATGCCAACATATACATGTATTTGGTAAAACAGCGATTTTAAGACCTTTTTCGACCCATTGCTTGATTTTCTTGCCTTGGAGGAATTCGAATGCCCAACAGAATAATGTTGGATTATAATGCATCAAGGAAACTAACGGAGCAGAACCTGTGTGAGAAGTGCAAGAACTAAAAGTGGTGGAAGATATAAGATAATAGATGAAGGTGAATTGGTTCTATGAAAACTTGACAAAGAATGTGTATGATGTTAGCCACGTCATAAGCAGAATGTTTACAATATGTAACCCAAATATGGCAAAGAAAACTTTTTTTAAAGTATGTAACTTAATTATATTATTTGTCACTTTTAGATCGAACTCTATCCTTCATCGTCATATATTTGTGCCATCCAGCCTTCACTATCCACATGTATCACTCCGCGGCACAGTTTCATTAGTTTCCTGAATGTATCATTATTATATACATACCTAGGGATGTTATGTGACCGTGGCGATATGATGATCACTGAAGCCTGTCCATTTAGACAAGCTTCAGTGAAGATCGAGGGCAACCTCGCGCCGCTACCCAAAAATATCTCGCTTCACTCGACATTTCTGCGTAGCGTCTCTCGGAATACTCGGATTTAACCTCGATGTAGTCTAAAATTCCACGACTACATCTTGGTTAAATCAGTCGAGGTCTCTTAAATGCTGGAAGTTAAAGACAGATTGATCATGAGACCTTCTTGGCATCACGAGAATACTGACGTTGCTTGTGTTATATATCTACCAGTTGACAAATTTAAAATCTCTCACACTCTTAAAAAAATGCATAAACCTTTCACGTTTAACACTTATTATTTGGCATCAAGAGAATAGTGACGTTGCTTGCGTTATATACCTACCAGTAGACAAATTTCAAATCTCTCACACTCTTAAAAAATTAGCATAAACATTTCACGTTTAACAATTATTATTTATAATTTTATTACATTATCATATGGATATGGTTTGAAAACGGGATTTAGTTTACATTTAAGCCACACGTGCGTACAGATTATTTGTAAATCTATAACTTTTTAACGAGGGTTGTGTTATTTACCTTTTGTTTTTAAGCTGTTCATTCTTCCTCTTTATCAGATATATCGGTAAAAATCAAATATTTCCCCCTTTGAACTTGTAATTACATGTAGCATGCTCCATGCTCTGAAACTAGCACACGTATATTCCGAAACCGCCTCGTAGTAAAAAATGTCACCAAAACGTAGAATTATTACTCCTGTGGCCTTGAAATAAACATCCGTTTGATTGTGACTATATTCCGTAACCGCCTCGTCGTCAGAAAGAACAATAAAAACTAGAATTATTACTCCCGGGAACTTGAAATAAACATCCGTTTGTTTTTGACTACTGTATATTCCGTAACCGCCTCGTCGTCAGAAATAACTATAAAAACTAGAATTATTACTCCCGTGAACTTGTAATAAACATCCGTTTGATTTTGACTATATTCCGAAACTGTTGTTGTCAGAAATATCACCAAAAAATAAATATCTTTCTCCTTTGCACTTGTGAAAAATTAGTTTGACTATATTCCGGTCTGACGCTCCTTGTTTATCAGAAATGTCACTTCAAAGTAGAGGTTTTGCCTTGGGACCTTTTTTCTGCAGCAGGTCCAGCTAGGTGTGGCTCAGCTGAGACGCGCATGGTCAATGTCGACGATTGATTAAATACTTTTCACGCCAGTTGAACGTCCATGCCAAGTATTTAGCAAAAATTGACCAAATTGGTCAGACATTACGTAAGAATTTTGGGAGAGGTGACCAGCGCACGTGGACGAGTTTATTTCATATAACATCCCTAGAGCGTGATATAGGGTCACTTTATTCGGTTTGGGGGGTGTTTTAGGATGAAATGACTGGATTTTTTCTCGGTATGTATGTCAAATAATACACTGTCCCCCTCTCGCAATATATATGCCATGAACACCTCTCGCTAACGCTCGAGGTGTTATAGCATATATCGCTCGGGTGACAGTGTATTATCTCACACATATCACTATTCTGTTGAAAATGTTCTACTCAACGAGAACTAAAAATGTTCTTGGAGATGGGGACATTGGATATTTCAATGGCAACTTCATGGGCTCAGTTCATGATAGCGATTGTTTCTCCGGCTTTATTCACGAAGAAAATGATATATCACTCATCTTTTTATAATCTAAATAAATGTATGTTAGCATATGCTTGGAATATTGCAAAAGCCGCTAAAATGTGGGTTTATCATAGGCATAACTGCTCTATTTTGATAATAAACTCCAAAATAAGAAAATAACCATCTTGATTATACAGAACCGGTAGGTGATTTATATTATAAATGTATGTGCAATAGACAGCAAGAATGACAATATAAATCTCTATAATAAGTGAACTACTGCCATTACTTCAGATGTGAAGATTAAATATTGCGATATTTTACTGGCATACAGTATAGTACAATAAAGCCGAAGAATATATTATGCATGATATAAACTCAAAGCAAAACACGAACTGTTCATAAAATGAAACATTTCACAATAATGAACCACAAATAATATTACAACTGGGTATACGGGTATCAGAATTTTAAAAAAGATTTGCGATTCCTATGTTCCACGAGCACAATTTCATTGTCAGTAGAAGAAGAAATACAAAAAATAAAGAGATTTTGCCTTCCATTATATTCACATAGGTTAAGGTTAGCGTGGTGTAAGTGGGTCAAATTTTCGGACAGGGCTATCCTGTACACGTTGGATCAGAACTAGGTACTTTGGGCACATGGGCACATAACACCTGTTTTCTCTACATGTCCTGTGTTATGCCATACATTCTGCAAAAATGAAGTATTATACGACACAGTCTAGTCTAGTACCATTAGGCACATAAGCTTAAATGAGTTACACTTCGTTCTGATATAGGCCTATTCCAGGAGCTGGTGGATGTCGTTGATTAGTTTCGTTTGCTGACATGCAAAGAGCAGTATATGCGCTGTCATTGACGTTAGCATACTCAACCACGTTGTTATCTGTTGCCATAGTTGTGGCCTCCAGTGACATATACTCGTGTTCCCTATCAGCGCTGCTTGGCGAACTCGAACTGTTAACCGCGCTAGCAGGAGTTGGGTGCCTGTTACTAGCTGCGTTTGCTGCAGTGCGCAGAACAGCATAATCCCCGTCATTGACGTTAGCATACTCAGCCACGTGGCTAACTGTTGACATGGTTTGGGCCTCCAGTGACATATACTCATGATCCCTATCAACACTGTCTGGCGGACTCAAACTGTTTTGGTATAGCTCTGAGATGTCGCTGTGATCAGCATTAACGGCCTTGGACGGTTGAGATGCGTGGCAATGTTTTCTGAATGGAAACGAAAAACAATAGTTCACACTTACCACTTATCAGCAAGTAGGTTGAAGGCATACGAGAGGTAGAAGGAGAAATATCTATCTTAATTCGAATTGTGTAAACATTGCCCAAAACAAAATCTAAGAACACATAAAATTTATCTTGGGGAGATGGGCCAAATACATAACATTTTCACATAATGGAAATGAATATGTCCATATTTATCTAACAGGAACATGGTTATAGATTGAAATGGACCGTGTGGCATGTAGTATTTATACTGCTAGAATATATCACACGTTTTCAGTCACAGCGGCCATAAACACTCTTTTATTCTACATTAAACCTTTATCGCTATGTTTGATAGGAATGAATAAAACAACATGTTAATGGTTCTATGCCACTTACCGTCTAAGTTTGATGAATACAACAATTATGACAAATAATATCAGCACTATCGCTCCAGTAACGCCCACACCAACACTGACACCAATGTTAGGGTCTGAGCGTGCTGCCTTGGCACCAGCTTCAGGCAACGTTCCTGAAGGTGAAACTGAAAACAACAACGATATCACTTTTTTGCCTTACTAGATAGCCAAACCCTTAATTAACCAAGTGTTTTATTATTCAATTATTTTCTTAAGCATAAATACTCAGGTTGCACATAATGTAATAACTTAACAAGTATCAAGTATCCTAGTAAAAGTATTTCAACAAAAACTATAAGAGCATTATGCAAGATCACACGTACCCTGACCATAAGGGTGTTATAGTGGATGCTATTTTTTTAGTTGATGACACCCTGGTCTGACCAATTCAACCTCACGGGGATAGGAGTGGACACCCACTATACATATACCCCTCAATACTCGTACCTGTACAACTAAGAGTGTCCATCCCAAATCCACCGGTTTCATCACACGTCAAGGTAACACTGGTATTACCATCTCGGAACTGAAATCCTTTCATGCATTTGAATTCAACTGAAGTCATGAAGAATAGATTCGTACTATCAGAAGTTGTCATTGTATTGTTTAAATAAGGCAAAGTACATGTTCTTTTTTTGCAGTCAGGTACAGGTGGTTCCAAAGTGTCTGTTCTGATGCATTGTGACGTAAACGTCACTTCGACGTCATATCCAGCAAAATGATACCCAGGAAAGCAAGAAAACGTCACATTCTGCTTGAAGACATATGGTCCTTCTGCAAAATTCAAATTCAGTTTATTACCAGGAAAACCACACGATATAGGGACACAGCTAGGTAAATTCTGGTCAAATGTTCCATCGGCTCGGCAAGTAAGGTTCTTTACTGTTGACGTATCGTTGAATTGGAAGCCATTAGTGCATGTATATGTGACACTTTGTCCCTCAAAGGTAACGGGACGCTGTGTAACTTGTCTCTGGTGATTGCCCAGATGGGGGAATTCACAGGTTCCTGGAAGTGGAGGTTTTTTTCAATTTCTTTATCTACTCAAGTTTATTCAAATCCGTACAAGTTTTAATACCGTCAGAAGATCGAACTACAGAAATAACCATATCAAAGGTCAACCTGCAGCAGAGTGACGATTTCATTTATAATTCTCAATTTGTTCTTAGTTTTCTATCTCGCTGCCTTCTTTATTGCAGACTTACTGATACATGTTTTTCTCTCCCCTTCAAATTCTCCTCTAGGAGTACATGTCAGTGTGAAGCTGGAACTGGAATCGCTGATTTGATACCCACTGTTGCAAGTGAAGGTAACAGTGTTGTTGAATCGGTAAACTTCAGTTGCCGGAGAGCGAACTGTGTTAGGAATAGTTGGGGCAGAACATTCCACGACTAAAAACATAGTGTATGTTTGTAAATAGTCGCGGCGACGTAAAGCTGACGCTTGGTTGCATAAAAACTCTAAAGATTTCCATTAAAACTGTACCTAAAGGTAACGACACTCCAGCTCAGTCAAATAAATGTAGCCATACATATATTTTTGTATGTTGACCATTTCTTAGAGCATCACGAATAAATGGCTAATTATATTGATAACGAACCTAAAAGTTTTACCTTGCATCACATTTTTAATAAAAATGTAGCATAAGTTATTGTTTAGGTGCATATTCATGTAGGCTATAAAACAACTTATATGTACATCGTAACATGTTTGTTTCTTTGTGCAGGCAATCTCGGTCTTAGTTATAAAGTATGAAAAATAATGGAAAACAGTGTCTCACTTACAACCAATACACTGGTCACCGGTACGTCCCAGGTTACACACACACTCCTCTGAAGATATCTGTGTCTGTGAGGTGTATGTTCTCACACACGTTCCTCCTGTAGAGCAGGGGCAGTTGTAGGCGGGATTACCTGAAGGAAACATACCAAACTTTACACTGCGTTGTTGATTCATACATAATGTTTCTGAGTGTGTAATTAGCTCATTTATGTCGTTACTGGTTATGTTCATGTAGGTATTTTATTACAGCCACAGCCGGTAATATCGTATATTATACGTTTTTAAGCACGAGTAATATTACTTTCTGAAAATTGTATCTAACTTATTATTCATCCTCAAAACAAATCCATCGATAAAATTACAAGTACAAAATAAGGCATTTTGAAAAAACGTTATTACTTGTACAAATAAATTCCTCAAATTGCATCTTACTAGTACATCGCTTCATTTGATAGTGACGCGGACCATTTCTATAGTAAAGGCCACTGCACGACGTAGACCGGTAATGGAAGTAACAGTTGCCATCCCAGTCCACTGCTTCACATGGTGTGCTATCGTTACAGGCCTTTAAACAGTGGGATAATGGCTTGTAACTCATATACGTGGCATGACTGGCACCTCTATTTACATACGCATATAACACGTATTCTGGCACTGAAATGGAATGATGTGCTTACATTTTATTTATTGATTACGGGGTGTGGACAACACACACCTTTTGAGTCAGATATCGCCATGAAAAAAGTTCAATGAAGCCAAGCCGCATTCTTATATTCACAATTTCAGTGCACGTAGGTAAATCAAGAGGCATTGAGGGCTTGTATGTAAACCCCTCGCGAACAACTTTTAGCCATGAAATGTTAGCTGGGCGGACCGGTGGGAATACGTTTTCACTCTAAACCCATGCCTCACAACCCAGCCTCAGCCTTAAAGTGAAACTCTTATTACACCTGTATACGGAATACGTTTTAAATGCTTTGTAAGAAACGGTTTTATTCTCATTCGAATAAAGAAATATATTTCGTTTTGATAACAAAGATAATGTATGTCACATCGAAATCAGAGAATTAGAAAATATATTAAAATTGAGAGTTTTATTCAAAAGTAATCAACAGTACTAATCCATACAGAAAGAAATACTCACATCCACATACTGGCGGTTCCTTGTCAAAAACATTATTTTTGTCAGTACACATAATGCTAAGAGAACCGTATATATGGATATATGGTGCTAAACACGTGTAGGTAACACTTTTGTGACTGTTCACGCGGGCAGCAGTTTGAGTTCGACTTGAATGAGGAACGTCTGGCACGACACAACCTGTAAAATACAAAGGTTAATTGATTTTTAATCTGTTTACTGACGGGGATAACCTTTTGTATATTTGGGGATCGCGACAGCTTCCTTGCAGAAAGTTAGGTGAAACGCCTCCCATTACTTTGTACAGGTGGCATTCGTCCCTATACTAACCCCAATACTCCAACTAACCCCAACCTGTACTACGGTACTAATATCATATGGGAGCTCAGACTTCCATTCCTGTTACATGTACGCTGGTTTCTAGCCTGACCCAACATGGCAATCACGATACAAAATTAGAACATTCTTTTGAACTTTAGAAATAAGTAAATGCAAACAGTGCATGGTCCAGGATTTTGGTTAGATGTAAAAGGGGTGGGAACATGAATGAAAAGTATCTTGCTTACATTTGCTAAAATACATAATCAGTAGAGAACGATGGTTGAAGGACAAGGGACAGAGAAAGTGTTCCTGTTTTGTCTCATGTCGCGCTTATTATTTATTCAGTTATTCATTGGGAGATTAGGGTTTGGGGTGTACATGTACATCCTGTGTGAAAACTTGTTTCTCTTACCTGTGTCGCTTCCTTTCCCCCCACAAAGTAAACAAAATATCAGAGATGATTTTAAAATGCTCGACAGCCCTTTCATTGTCTCGTTGTCCTTGCCCTGAATTAAATGCCAATAAAAGTATTTAAATATGGAAAACAAAGATCCATGCTTAGATAATATCACCATAGAGGGTGACTCATTATCAACTAACAACATCTTCTAAAATGAGGGTTAAATGTAATAAACAAAGCAACACGTACTTTTAAGCACGTTGCAAAAAAGTTCAGTCACTTTATAAGATATGATTTCTGTGTACATCTTCATGTAATAATAGAATAAATAACAAACGAACAAATAAATAATTAAATACATTAATTAATGAATGGTATATAAACAATAAAATAAAAAGTCACACTGACGTGTGAACACTTTCGAAACAACCACTGGAAAAGAAAAGCCAAAAAAAAATAATGAATAAATAAATAAAAATAAATAAATAAATAAATAAAGAATAAAAAAAATCTAGCGGATCCAGATGTGGTCTTAAAGATACTTATATAAAAGCTCATAAGTGACTTTCTATTTGTCGACAGGAGTAATTGTATGCATTTTAATTAAAATTAGATAATTGTATACATTAATGTGATATGTAACATATGTGATAGTGGAAGTAACGTATGACATTAAAATAACCGCACTCCGGACTGTATACTGCTCCATGTGAAAAAAAGGGTCCAAGACATAACGGTCACTGTAAAAAGCTTTAATTTGCAAGCCCCGGTTGTATCTCTCCACCACCCCCTGCTTTTAAGTCGTGTAATTAAGATGTCTTAACAGAGAAGACCAATCAAATCGTTGTGTGGTGTGAATGAAGAAAGTGACAAATTGTAATCACATGGTCTTATTATGGTTCTAATTACATACACTGAAGACCTTATAACGTCATTAAAACTTGAGAGAAGTACGGGTCAGGTGATAATTCTGACAACAGTAATCGTCAGGTCTACCCAACTACCAGACTCGGCACCGAATGATCCTGAATTCACCGGTATCATACCCCGGAACCAATTTTGAGATGAGATATACTACTTTCCAAATCGCTCAGATTCATCGCTATCCCATCGCGTACTAGGCAATAGCGGTGTCGCGTCTGATACTTCGAAGTGCGTACTGACGCACAGCTTGAAAACGGGTAGTGTGGTCCGATCTTCCGGAGAATTCAGGATCATTCGGTGCCGAGTCTAGTATTTGGGTAGGCCTGATCGTGATTTATAGTCTGTCACGCCCATTTAAGCTGCTAGGGGGTAATTAATTTTCGTGCACGTTTAAACTGAATGAAATTTATCGAGAATCCCCTCGGAGTTAAATCGATCCTGATAGTACGATAGGGTGATGGGAATGGTCTCTTAACATATCTAGTAAAATACGTCGCCTTCTGTACAAAGCATTTACACTTAATTGCTTGGGTGCTCTTACTGTATCAAAGACACGATTCAATCCTCATCTATGCACATCAATTCTTTCGGAACATCTTGGCTTTTCTGCTGCTTACGTGTAATGATTATAGAACATGTACATGTAACAGGTATTATTATACTTACCCTAATTTTACTATAGCCAAATATCTCTCTATTGAATGACCTTAAAAATAGGACTTATCAAAGTGTGGCGAGGCCTAGCGGGTAGATGCGGAGTTTTGTGAACAAGGAAGTGACCCATTTTATATTTTATACCACGTATCTCACCTTGAATTAAAAGGATCACATTGAATTAAAAAGCGATCGGTGGTTATAACTTCTTGATTTAGGTCATGCCAGGTCCCTAGTTTATGTTGCCAGGACTCTGTCAAATCATCAACCATACAGGCCTAGGCTATACTGTTGGGTGAGTGGTAGTTTCAAGGTAAGGAGGGTTCATACAAGCAAATTATAGGCAATCGGACAAAATGACTCGAAAATATTTGATGAAATGCGTGTAAATGTATTATAATGTTACAAACATAAAAATGGGGATACCTGAATATGCTGTGCTAGAAACATCCTGTATTACATAGCTCTGTGTTCTATTTTGTTTTCTCACCTCCTAACCGTTATGTACCGCTGAAAACTCAACAGTCTATTTTCCCAAAAATGCCCCAGATTTGATCTCAGGTGACCTCTGACCTCATTTGTGTACATGTTTTGCAATATAACAAAACTTACTTCACTTATTCCTTAAGAACTAGCCTTCAGCTGCATAATTTTAAAATCCACTTCTGATCTGATTACCAAGCTGTACATCTATGTCATACGCGTGTCAACAAACCTTATTCCAGGGCATTCGACGGTACAATGAAGACATTGTCACAACTGTGTGTATTTTTCTGTATGTGCAGTTTGAACTTTGACATACGTGGAACTGACGCAGGTAATATGTTTCTTATATAGTGAAGTCCTATAAAAGCTTGAGGACAGGTACTAATATGAATCTAAAAGACTCTTTAATTTCAAATAAAATTGTATGCAAATATATTTAAATGTTTTCTGTGTATGAAAACAAATATTTGCATGTTCTAGAGTAAGGTTGGTGATCTAATTTTGATTTGGTATTTCAAATCTAGAAATGAAAAAGGCGTCCGTTTATGTAAAAAGTATTTTGATAACTTGATTCTTCAACCTTTCAGGTTGTGTCGTGCCAGACGTGCCTCATTCAAGTCGATCTCCAACTGCTGTCCGTGTTAACAGTCAACAGAACGTTACCTACACGTGTGTTACTCCTCCATATATCCATATATACGGTTCTCTTACAATCACGTGTACTGACAGAGAGGATGTGTTAGATAGGGAGCCACCAGTATGTGGACGTGAGTAGGCCTATTTCTTTTGCGTGGATTATTTTCTTTGCTAGTTTTTTTTTTTTTTTTTAATTCGCTGTACTTTTCTTTTTTTATTAAAGCAAAATATTCCTATTTTAAAATGAAATCATAGTTTCTTACACAACATTTGAAGCAAGACAAGGATTTGACATATAAAACAACACTGAGGAAAATTGGGGTTTCATCCAGAGACCTTTTGGGGAATCCAGCAGTAGTCCCCAAACTGAGACCTATAGGTATCAGCCTCAGAACCCGGGGAAATCATCTTGATAACCCAGGGCATCCAAGTGAGACCTATCAGCAGAATACTCAAAGGTTTCGGGTGGTCATCTTTGGTCCTTGTGCAGGCTTATTGTGGTCGCGTTCGTCTCCCTACCGTTTTTGACGGACCGATATGACGGAGTGGAACCCACGTCCCCCCGCTCCAGAGGCGGACACCACCACCACAAGGCCGTCCGGTCAGTTCCACCACGTGATTGTATATTCCATACATTTCAAAAAGCCAATGTTGATGGGCCCGCAACATCTTAGTGCTCTAGGTATATGACACCCCAATTTCCCTCAGTGTATGGACTGGTGTGAGTGTTGCAACCAAGGGTCGAAAACGTTGTTCGCATCGGTTCACTTGGCGAACATTCCATGGTTAAAAGTATATCGTAAGGAATTTACACACACAATGCACCCTTGGATTAACCTACCTGCTACGTAAAGGCCCCTTTACACTGGGCGACGCCCTTTCTGTGTTCTGCGTTCAAAATGTGGTCAGGACGCTGAGACGGTCGCCAAAACAATTAAATGCCTCAGTGTAAAGGCGTCTGTATCCCGTGTGCGTACTTTGAACACCCGAATCTTGGTTTTACCTGACCGCCCAACGGTGTCCTGCCTAGTTTCATGGTCGCACAAAGGGCGCAGAAAGGACGCGAACCAGTGTAAAGGGGATTAAGTACAATCAATTCGTTTCGTTCAGTTACTGTGTTTAGCTGGTAAGTTAGTCAGAACTTAATGAATACAAGAATGCGAATTACTGCATGGTTGTACTTTTAAGTTAAAACTTGAAATACATTTTTGTGTCTTTCTCCTCCTATATCTATATAAATGTGTGTCTCAAATAGTGTATGTAGTACACAGCTTGTAAACACTATAGAAAATAATAAGAACATCAGGCTACTACACGTACATATTTATGAAAATATTTTATTTTAGTGCCAGAGTACGTGTTGTATGCATATGAAAAAATGGGCATCATTGGAGGCTCAAATACAACCCATAAGCCATTATCCCGCTGTTTACAGGCCTGTAACGATGACCCAGCGTGTGACGCAGTTGACTGGGATGGAGACTGTTGGTTCCACAACTCTTCAACGTCGTGCAATGTTTTTTACTATAGGCTTGGTCTCCGTAATTATCAAATGAAACAATGTACAGGTAATTATAAGATGCAAATCGAAGCGATCGTTTGTGTTTTGGTTTTTTCACATACGATTTTTTACTTTGTGTCAATAATCTTGTCGACGGACATGCTACGGAGACGAATAAGTAAAGTTATTAAGACAATGTCCGGAACGGAAAGTGGTATCACTCTAGTGCTT